TCATGGCTGTCGGGCGCGCTGCTGCCGCTGTGTACGGACAGCGCGGCCACGGCCGGCCCTTGCCGGCCGTCCGGCGACAACTCCCGAACATACTGACCTCAAATGGCATATAATGAACTCATTAACAGATTTAAACTGAAAACATGAAGTTTGCCCAATAAACGGAACTTGGCCGCGGCGGACGCACCGTGCGCCGCCGACGGCGTTAAGCCGCTTTCACGACCGAATTTCAATTTTTCTCGGCAAATCATATTGCACTGAACATGAACATAACTTACTAAACCTAAAGATACAAAGTGCTCAAGGGATTGAACTTGACATGCAACAAACACGCGTACGGCTCGTGGTGCGCACTATATGTGCGACCACATCCCCTCGGCCGAAACACCGCAAAACATGACTAATCACCCGAATACTTAAGCTAATCTAAACATGATATTGCATATAAAGGCTAAATATGCGAGGATGGATCGGAGAATTCAACTTAGAACATGACATGACTCGGCACGGCTTCTCGCACGGCCTTTACCACACACATAACACGCATGAACGCCTAAACTGAAAATCGAGCTTAATAAACGTAATAATCTCAGCCTACAACGACAGGGAATTTACCTCCGATTATGCTCAATTGACGGCACTAATTCGGATTACCGTGTTCGTGTGGCTCTCCGTGAGCGATGCGACGTCGTGCGGTACCTTGCGGCGTAGCGTGTGATGGCTTGCGGTGCGTGCGAAGGACTGCTACTACGCGGGCGGGTGCTTGCGTGCGCCTAGTTGCCGTGCGGTGCGCTGACTGTCGTGGAGTACTGCTGCTACGCGTGCGATTGCTCAGTACTTGCGATAACTTGCGGACAACACTTAGAATTTCTTTCTAAACTCACTTAACTTCCGGTACTTAGCATATTAGGTGAAGAAAATGGATCAAATTTTTCCAACTCCCCCTTTTATACTAAATGGCCGAAGAGGTGCAAGGTTTGGAGATTAATCTCCTTAAGACACTTGCTCTAATATGGGATAATGATAGGATGACTAATCACTTATTAGCCCATAATCATGACACGTATAAGTGCTTAATGATGAAGGAAAATTTTGGACAAAATCCACTAACCTAGGCCACTTAAACATACGGCATTATTGGAGATAATTTGGATTTTCCGTACGGTTTTTGTGGTTAAACCTTGTGATTAATTGGCAATGAACCACTTAAACATGTTTAATTAATCAATTAAACATAATGCTTAATTACCAAAATTATTCCGAACGTAAACGGTACGTCGAAAATAATTTTCGGTAATCTTGACTGAAATGACTGAAAATAATTATTCTGAAAATTAATATCGAAACTAAAAACATAATTTATGCTGATAAACTGACGGGATATTTCAATCGTCCCTCCTTACAAAATTTTCGTCCTCGGAAATTCAAAACATAGCTGAATATACATGAACTATGTACATAAGATAATAAATATGTACATCAAAACTGAAAATCTGGAAAACGAGCGCGAATATCGGACTCTGCCTCCCAAGTAGCTCTGTGGCGATCCCACTGAATACGCACGAGGGGAACATCTTGCTTCCGGAGCCGACGGACCTGACGGTCTAGTACAGCTACCGGTCGCTCCTCGTACGAAAGATCTGGCTGAACCTGAATATCTGAA